TTTAATTAATTATTAAATAATTAAATAAATTTTGTCCAAAAATAATCTTATCGATCATTTGCCAAAGCCAAAGCCAAAACCAAAGCCGAGTCGAGCGAGCGACGACGACGGCGCGAGGGTTCATTCTCTTCAACTCCTTTTAAGAGCTTTAAGAAGTGAATCTATATATAAGCACATAAATGTGATTGTCCCTCACCAATAAGGGACAAAGTGCAAGACAAAAGTTCACTTCTTCAAATTTTCATTTTCCCTCCATTTTATTTCCCTCCATTTCCAATTCACACTTCTTCTCTTTTAAAGCCCAATGGCTTAAAGTCCAACATATATATGCATGCACACGTGTATGTAGGTATTTATATTGTTTGATCATGAACTAACTTGGAGTTTATGCATTATATGTAAAGGTAATTCAAGATTCAAAATGAAGCTGAAGACAGTCTGGAGGAAAGTATCTGATTATGTTCGATATGATTTGAAGGAGATTGCTTTTCCTTCATCTTTACCGGACCCTCCCCACTTCAAAAAACGCAGGAAACTATCTTTGAAGGAGCGCTATCTTGTGAGTGTTCTCTTTATTCTTTCTGGTAAGATCTTGTGGTAATGAATTATGATGATGCATTTATCAGTAATTACCTTTTGTTCTTGGTAACTTTGGTTCAGGTGCTGAAGGAAGCATCTAGACTTTATGCTGCAAGTAGGGTTAGGGACATTGGTCCAGAACTTCGGCCCAATGATTACAAAAAGAAGCGTGAGATTCTCGTGGACGAAGAATATGGTAGCAGAAAGCATAAGGAACCGTCAACATTAGAGGATCTAGGTAAAATACCTGACCAATTGTCTTTCATATATGATTGCTCTTCTCTTACTTTTTTATACACGGAAACTTTACCAGAGATATGCTGGATGAATAGCAATACTTTTCATCCAATTTATTGTACTAAAAAGATATGTCCATTTATACATTCTAGGACAATCCCCCTACTTCTTTCTGGTAAGAATGATATCTTTATATGAATGGTGGGAGTGTTTCTAAGAACATAAGAGCGGCAAATATTTTCATAAATATGTACAGTATAAAAGTTAGATATTTTTTTGGTTACATGCCCTTTTATTTAAAAAGCCATAGGACAGCCAAAAAAAAAGGAAGTCAGCAAGCCCTTGTCAGTCTGAGTAGGCAGAACCATTCTGTCAATCTTTTTTGTCCTCCTTATCGAAAAAGATTGGATGTCATGTTTACTCGATTAATCTATTCATAAAAAGTTAGTCACCAGGAAACACCTTCCTGTTACCAGGTTGTTCTGCCCGTAATCTGGGCCTCTGGCTGTTTTCCTTAGTAGAACTGAGCTGCAAAATGACACTCTAGATCCGAGCTAGTTGAAAGTTCTAAAACATCAACTGGAGGCTGTTTCTATCCCTGGAAGATGTTCATTTCATAAATTCTTTCTTCTAGTTGGAATTTGGAAGTAGTTTGCACTTTGCAACTGTTTTGATTTTGGGTCTTTTTTCCCCCGGAAATGGTATTTATAAGGATTCTGGATTCTTGAGAAAAAAGGGTAACAGAGACAACCTCTGTAACTATTTAACAATAGAGCTTGTTACTGTAGAGGTTGCTGAGTTATAAAGTTTCAACGAAGTGTTGCTGAGATTCCCGTTATGACTGAAGTCTAGAAGGTCAAAAGCACCAGGTCTTCGATATATGCTCGTAAAAGCTCTGTATAGTGCTGAATAGTTTGCGGCTCACGACATTCCCAAAAAAAGTTTGTGGCTCGCTACACATTTTTCTTTTCCTTCTGAAGATACCTTAGATTCAATCCAGGATTATATAGAAGCTGACTTCAGTCTCGGTAGGTTCTCTATCCTTATTAGATTGGTTAATTACGTATTTGGTCAAGGAGTCACATTTAGTTGTTTTTTTTGTTCTTGTTGTGATGAAATAAACAGTATTTGCTCTGAGTTTCCGCTAGAATGATAATATGAGCAGCACTTCATTTCTTCTACATGTTAAATTTTGCAACTAGGACTTTAGCTATTCTAAATGCACTTTTCCATGCTAGTTGTAAAAATCCGCTTTAAGTTCTGAAGCTAGGTGCAGCAACGGTTGGGTGTTTTACCTCGCTTAGGTGGCACTTCAGTGCAAGCATCAAAACACACAGGAGTGTGCCTCAACACCCACGGGCTCTATCATGCAACACTAAACAATAAATATAGTTGGTAAAATGATATACTTAGTAATTATTAAGGGTAGTGAATGACCGTGTTACTGATGCAATCAATCAACTAACATCAATCCCGAATCAGTTCAGGTTGGCTGCAAGGAGCGTCTATATCCGTTACACTCTGTTTAAGTTCATTTCATTTTTCAGAGGACTCATCATAGTTTGACTATTTTTACATTAGCCATCTACCTAACATATACCTTTATTCTTTATCTGGAAATGGGAACTGCTGTGCTTTGCTCATATTTTCGGGGTTATGAGAAAGCTAATCACTCGTCTAAATTAGAAACCTATAACTGCATTTTTAATCAGACTATCAGAGATTTAAATTGGTCTCTGAACTTGATTAACGTGGTTTTACTTCAGCTATATTAATTTACCTGTTTCTTTAATATCGTGGTCCATATAATTGTTGTTTGTGATTATAGTAATATTGTCTTGCATTACTTATATGATTTTTAGTTTCTTTTTTCATTTTTATCTTTGTTTACCGAAGAGCACCTTAATTGCCCTTTGCACTTAAAGCCCTAATTGACACTTGACACATTTCTTTCACCTGTGGCAATACTGCATTGGCGTAGGAAGCCTTTGTCTGATTAGATCTAGTGAAATTTTCTGCCTATTTAAGAAAGAGATTGAGAAAGTTAACTGCCAGTAGAAATTGCCTATCTCGTGATGAGTCTCTTGAATAAATTGTTTTTCACCATTTTGGCTTTCTTGGGATTATACTGGGTTGTTGTTGTTGTTGTTGTTGTTGTTCGCTTTCTTGGGATTGTGTAAGTCTTTCTTAGAGTTTTCCTTTGAATTTACTTCCCCTTTATTACTCTACCTTCCCAAAAGCTTAATATGATCCTAGATAGTTACAGTTATGAGCCTGAACCACGATAATTCAATGAAAAACTTGTCATACTATCTTGATACTCTGATGACTGTTTGATGTTAAACTCCATGTGGTTGAATGTAGGCAGCTAATTGAATTATCATTGTTCGGCTCATATTGGTAAAGTATTTTTAAATGGGAGGATTATGTGAAGCTTTTGGTATATTAAATTGTGGAAAAAATAACCAAAGATTTCTTGTCATGCTTTTTGATGCTCCGATGATCTTTTGATGTTCAAACACCTGATGGTTGACTTGATGCAACCAATTTTTTCTCAGGTTTAGACAATTATCTAAGAATCCGTTTAATTCGTTTAGTTCTGTCAATACCCATGTCAATCACTAATCTATTCAGAGGCGAATGCAGTGTAGAAGCTATGGGTTTAACTGAACACATAGCTTTCGCTCATACCCTGTATTTTTGCCTAAAAAATCATTAAACATGTACAAATAATTAAAGTTTGAACCCATTAAATTAGATGAGATGTGGTCAAAATTGGGAATCTGAACCCATAAAATTTAAATCCTGAATCCGCCTCTGAATCTATTTGTTCATTTTCTGTTTTGAAAACCTCTTTCCATATCAAATATCGGTAATCCTAATTCTAATTAATAATAATTGTAAAGTTGCATTGTAACATCATAATCTAATTTCTGTTTACATGTTTTTGTTTTTGTTAATTATGTGTGGCATATCTTACTACTTTATCATGTATCCATCTCAAAATTCTGAATCAACCATGCTTATTTTATGGCATGTGTTGCTTTACTGTTTGACATGCTCTAGTTTTAGGCCAGAAGCCACATGGATTCTTCTGTTAAGCTCTATATATTTTTCTTCGCAACTTCATATTATTCAAAACTTCTAGCCACTTAACTCTTATCCTATTTCTAGTGAAATTTCCAGTGGCATCTGTTGTCCTGTATTTTAATTTCAAGACCTGAATTTCTACTAGTCACCTTGTTTTCTGGACTCTCCAGTCTTCTTGAATGAAATCATAAATGGTGCTAAGCATTCATCAATAAGTGCATTCTATTTTGATCCTGTGAATCTTTGATCCTATTCTCTAAAGTCCTAAGTTTTGAAACTCAGAATGAGTTTTAAGATTATGTTCTCCAAAAATAACATATAACTATAGTTTGTATATTTCCAACAATATCATCCATAACAAGTCTAAGAAGTGAACCCTTAAAGCTGAAAGCTTGGGTAACTTTTGAGGACATATTCCTGGATAAACTTAAGCTTTGTTCTTTTGAATTTTGTTCATTATTGTAGGTGTTAACAATCAAGTAGCTTCTTGAGAATTTACTCATAAGAGTTAATTTTCCAGATAAAGTTTTTCATTTAACTGTATAACCGATTGTGTGACATTTTCAATATTGTCATTGTATATTTCTTGTAGTTTCTTCATTAGTAAATAAACGCTTTCAGCCGTGTTCAAATCGTTTCTAAATTGAGGTATGACACGTTTGCACATTTTATCCCTAGCTGTGGCTGCAAGAGGCGGAATGGAGACACTACGACCAGCACTGCAACGAGTCTACATGACAAGAGCTTCTGCATATAAAGATGCACTTAAAAGTTTCATACAAGGATATCAAGAAGGTATTCAACAAACCATGGAGAAAATTAAAGACTCGAAATCTTCTGAAGACACTGATGCATCCAGTTCCAAAGGACCAACTTGAGTTCCAACGGAAAATTTGTGAGTTATCTTTCGCAATACCAGCTGCAAGAACAGTGTCCTCCCTTGTTCTCTTGAGATGATCATGTTAATGAGTATCACAATTCCCCCCCTTCC